GGGAAATCGGGAACGGGACGGGTCGGTACCGGTTCCGTCCCATGCTCATCCCTATCACACGTCAAATTTGTAATTCTAGATATTCAACTTTTAGTTTCTTGGAATCTAACTGCTTCTGTACTTATAGTAACTGTGAAGTCGATTTCTTAGCCTCGTTACTAGCAGAGATAACCAATGTATCGGAATACGCAATAGTATCATCAAAAGCAATTAATTCATAATCATAAGCATTCAAAGGAATATTGAAAGATTGAAGAATAGAACGTACCGTTGTCGTCATTGGTGATTTGTCTCCTCCTTTGGTCATAAAACAGTAACCTGTCACCACTTCGTCATTTTCCACCTCAAACTTCGCATACATAGCACCATGCGTAGGATTACGCATTTCGTCATCATCCAAACCCGACGACCAAATTTGGTAAGTCCCCTCATCATCATCCTCACCTTTCGCCGCAAGAGAAATTCCTTTCGCTTTTGCCCGAACTTCCTCTAAACGCTCAACATAGTATGCTTTGTCTTTTACTTTGTTTCTTTTCTTCTGTATTTCGAAGCATACAATCACTAGCCATATGGTTTGCACCATGACAATAGTGACACTCAATGTCAGAGTCTCCTTTAAGCTTCTTTTTAACTTTTAACTCTTCTTTTTCCACATCATTCTTTTCACTCTTCTTTTTCTCTTCTCCTCCAACTTTCGTCACAAATTTTCCTTTGATCTATTTTTGTGTCATCTTTGGATTGAACGGTTTCTTGAAAAACTTTTTAACTCTATTATTAGAGTAAAAAGCAACAACCGCATCGTCCGAATTCATAATGAATCCTTCTTCATCAGAATTCTCGTTTTCAATCAACTTCTTCTCAGCTACTTTCGAAACTAGTGCCAATGGGCCTCTTAAACTTAATTTCGACTCTTCATTCATCTCATTCACCTCTCCTTCGTGAATGTTCAATAGATTGTATAAATCATTCAAGGACGAAGTATCAAAACTTTGCTGACTTTTCACCATCATGCTTACATTTCGCCACTCCTTACGAAGTCCCATTACAAAGGTGAGATTAAATTCCATTGATGACCTTGTGATACCATAACGATTACATCTGTAAATGAGTTCATTAAGATGATCATAATATTCTCCAATGGATTCACCCTCTTTTTGTCTGAATTCCTTTAGCTCAACAAGACATTGCTTCACCGAATTTATCTTTGTCTTCTCGCTTCCTTGAAACTTTTCTTTAAGAGTGTTCCAGATGTCTTTTGCAGTTGTACAACTTCTGACATAGTTGTAAACAACAGGAGGCAATGCATCATGTAATTCTCTCATACATCTTTTCTCATTCTTTTTCAATCTATCAGTTTGAGTTGTAACACTTGGAGTACCAATTGAAGATCCAGTTGTTTAAACGTTTGGTGGAGGAGTACCATTTCTAGTTATGCATGACCAATGCTCCTCCTCTATCCCGTTCAAATAGTCTTGCATGCGATCATCCCACTGATCATAGTATTCCGGGATGAGCATATGAATCTTCATTGAAGATCCTAGCAGATGAGAATATGATGTCATTGAGTTCAAGTTGAAATTAGCCATGAACGTACGGATGGATTTTTTAGAAAAATGGAAGAGATTTTGAAAACCAATAGCTGGAAAAATCAGAGATTTCAAGTAGAACACTCGATTCAACAAATCAGTTGCAGAATCGAATCACAACTGTAGATCATGAACGATTTTCAATACAAAAAGGCGCGGAAACTTTTGAATCCAAAATTGATTCAAAAACCTTTTGATTTAGAATGGAAATCAGATCGTAGATATAATTCCTGCTCTTATACCAATTGATGAAGTATTGAATCGAGAAATGAAAACTAAATCAAAGTAATGAGAATTGTGAACATAGAGAGTAAATAAG